GGTTGAGAAGTTAGAGGGTTAATATGTTGTGGGGCTGTTAACCAATGTCATAAAACAGCATGTGTACTACTGTTTGATGAGAAACTATTTGTTCTGTAAGCCTTCACCTAAAGTACAATAAAATAAAATAAATAAAAAAATAATCAGCCCTATGGAATCCAGTTCTACTCTGATGCATATGAGTCTCTCTGAGTCAGGGTCAACTCAAAGGCAAACTTTTTTTTTTTTTTTTAAGCAGGGGAGCAGGTTGATCCCCTTCATTTACACTCAGAAGCTGTAGCCCTGAGCTTAAGAACACTTTCGAAGGGGTAGGAGGCAGACATTTTCCTACTTATTGGAAGAGGTAATTACTGGTACTAAATAACTTAGACAAGCATATTGGCCCTGTTCTAAGGTTTTATTATTATTGTTATGATTAATTAGGCAGCTAAACTTGACTTTGCAAATGAACAGTATGGTATGACTATAAGCAAATCACTCAGCATCATTTTCTTAGTATGAAAAGTGAAAAAAACAAGCAGATGATTTATGAGTAACAATATAATACAGAAAATGGCATTTGGTAGACTATAAAATTCATCACCAAAATTAAGCTAAAGCACAAAGGCCGACACATGTTGAGCAATATTTTCCACCAGACCATACGTTCTAATGCTATCTTTAAAGTTGTCTTAAAATTGGTGGTTTTTATTGTTTTTAACATTCATTTATGGCTTACTATAGAGCAATAGGAAACCTTGGTGGGGCAGTGGTTAAGAGCTACAGCTGCTAACCAAAAGTTCAGCAGTTCGAATCCACCAGGCACTCCTTGGAAACTATGGGGCAGTTCTACTCTGTCCTATAGGGTCGCTATGAGTTGGAATCGACTCGGTGGCAACAGTTATAGAGCAACAACAACCAGCCACTCCAGCGTTTCAGATGAGAAATTGTTTCTCTCTCATCCTCAGTGAAAATACATAGTACATAAAAGTCTTCTCCATTCCTGGGATAGCAAGGTTGACTCAAGCTGGATTAGAAGAGATGCTTGTTGGGATGAAAGAAAAGGTCAGGGATCATTACTTTCCAAATTTCTCTAGATTCTGCTGAAAACTACCTCCCAGGAGTAGTTTCTTTTCAAGGTTTCTGCTTTCAGAAGTGTTCTTCAGCTCTAAAAACAAAGGGTGGGAACAAATGAGTTGTAATGTTCCTTTTACCTTGAACACCGCATGTTCCCATTATCTTGTAAATGTACTTGCAACTCTAAGACAACCATTTCAGGTCATTTGGGTATGTAGTAATAATGATAATTAAGAGTGTGGGCTCTGACAATAGACCGTTCAATCTGGTTTCACCACTTACCAGAGGACTATTTTACATTGGGCAGGTCACTTAATTCAACAGGTTTCAATTTCCTTGTATGTAAAATTGGGCTAAACATTATACTTACCTCCTAGGGCTTTCATGGGAATCCCTGGGTGGTGTAAACAGTTAACAGGCCTGACTGTTAACCAAAAGGTTGGAGGTTCGAGTCCACCCAGAGGCACCTCGAAAGAAAGGCCTGGTGATCTACTTCTGAAAAATCAGTGATTGGAAACCATATGGGGCACAGTTCTATTCTGACACACTTGGAGTCACCGTGAGTGGAGTTGACTCGATGGCAACTGATGTGTAATCAGCACTTTCATGAGGTTTAAATCTGCTTCTATACATAATGTCTTACATGTCTGCATTAGTCATTTTTAGGATGCGGCAGAATCAGGCATGACTGAGAGGCTGAGCCATTTGGATTTACAACTTCTAGATATATGAGCCCTCAATAATTTTTGGATCTTACATAAAAGTTTTTTTATAGTGGAATGAAGTAGAAACTGTGGCAGATGATCTGGATTCCAGTCCAGGTTCAGCCATTGACATGCATGCAGTTTTTCTTTTTTTTCTTAGTATTTTAACCCTCATGGTCCTCATCCATAAATGTTCTACGATTATTTACAATACGAAAATTTCTTGAAATGTCTGTCCACCTGCCACTGTTAAATAGAATTAGTCTCATAATGGATTCTTATTCCTCTATCTTAAATTTCTGTGTTCATCAGTGATTTGCAATATTTAATGTTTTGTGGGTTGAAATGGTGCATGGGGACTAGCAGGGCAGAACAGTGAATCGAAATGGCATCATGGTTTTGCAGTGCAAAGAAATCATAATGCTTTAATCTGTAAATCTGGGACATGAAAGCCAAGGCCCAGTGCTAGACTCATTAACCAAAGTTTTATGCAGAGCAGGGGTGGGAAGTGTTAAGTTTTTGAATGGCAACTCTTGTAAGAAAATAGTATTGCATTTGATACATTCTCTTGACCACCTCATTTCTCAGCATCATGTTCTTTACTGCCATTCTCAACGTTCACGCAGTGCTATAATTTAGAACACAGGACCCTGGCCTGGAAAAGCTCCCTTTGGTAGGCACATCTTATCCTAACATCCCTAAAGCCTAATCACCCCCTCTTCTATAAGAATTTACATCTCAAAGACTTCTTACCTGTAGCCCTGAACTATACAACTATTACCTATAATCATCTAACTTCATAAGAAGAAAGTTTTAAAAAAAATTTCCATCACGAACTCCAAAATCCTGACACCACTGAGTAGAAATATGTTGATTTCAAAGCTTACCCACCTCATCATTTGGTTCATACACTTTAGCTCAGTTCTCTGTTCTTATATTTTTCTGCATCTTCTTTTCTTTTTTTAAATGATTATTCCCAGTTGTGTCCCATTTTCCACACTTTTATCTCTGCCTTTCTCTTTTAGTAAACAAAAACACAATTTTTATTAGTAGAAGTCAAGAACCTAAATTATGATCTAATATACTCGTTGTAAGTAACATTAACATTTCTCCCATGCATCCAGATTGGTTTTACTTATGCACCTTTCTTGGGAGTATTGACAAGATGTTGTTGTTGTTATGTGCCCTCAAGTTGATTCCCACTCATAGCACCCCTATATGACAGAGTAGAACTGCCCTATAGGGTCTCCTAAGTTGTAATCTTTATGGGAGCAGATCCCCAGGTCTTTTCTCCTGCGAATTGGCTGGTGGGTTAGCAATTGAGCCCTTAACCCTTGTACCACCATAGTCAGTCATATCCATGTCTGTGTTCTGTGGGATTCACATATTATTAGTGTCTATGTTACCTGTAAGCAGATTGGGAAAGGAGTATCCTATTTATAAAAGTTCCCACTTGATAGGAATGGCTTATTTCAGACAGATGACATAGATACAGTTGCACTGAAGGAAAAATGAGCCATTTTGTCCTAGATCATCTTCTTATTCAATTTTTTTGTGTGTATTTCTTAAATTTGATTTTTACTCTGCTTACATACAATAAGTCTTATGAAATCACCAGCAGTTTGAAGGGTTCTTTTTAGTATTTTATATAGCGTGGAAGGAGCTCTGGTGGTGCAGTGGTTAAGTGCTGGGCTGCAAACCGGAAGTTTGGCTGTTCAAACCCACCAGGTGCTCTGCAGGAGAAAGATGAAGCAGCCTTGTAAACGTTATGGGGCAGTTCTACTCTATCCTAAAGGGTCACTATGAGTCAGAATCGACTCAACAGCAATGGGCTTGGTTTTGGTTTTATATAGAATGGATTCTGAGAAAATAGTTTTTCCATGGTTTGGCTATAATTATATAAGCACCTGTTGGGTGAGGAATTAAGCATAGGTATAACAAGAGGGCTAGATTACTCCTTTTAAAACTTGCTCAGATTATAGAATACTCTTATAATTTGATTTTACTCAATGACAGAGGGAGCAAAAACTTGAATCACTAAGAAGTTGTAAAAATATGTCTTTTTAGACTTTAACACCAGAGATTATTATGAGGATTAAACAACTTAATCAATAATAACGTGTTTAGAACACTGCTTTAAAAATATTAAAAACAAAGATGTGTGGCTGATAAAGAATGTTAGATGGTGCTGATTATGTGTTTTTAATTAGGTAGACCCAAGGAATCTTTAACCTATTGTTTGCTTGTACAATTGAAATTGAGTTCATGTTCAACTCATTAAAGTCATAACAGAACCAAGTCCTCTATTATACTGGCTACTGTTTCACAATACTTAATTAAATATGTGCTCAATCTTGATAGGTAGCATTAATCAGAATCACCCAAAGAAGACTATAAAAATAAGAATTCACCTTTCTTTTACCAAAGAATAGCACAACTCTCAGACTTTTTGAATTTTGTCCAGAGTTGACTCAAGTAACTACATCAGCAATGAAGATAATTTGTATTTTCCTAACATTTCTCATCACTGTGTCTTGTGGTCCATCAGGTAATATTTGTTAATCTGGGAAAGATGGGAAGGGTAAAATGTCTTTATAAATGATTTTATAAACATTTTACAATGGGAAAAAATAAATTAATTAATGCTAGGAGACTCCACAGCAACTAACAACAACAGGAGACTCCATAGGAACTTTTTTTTAAATTTTTTTTATTGTACTTTAGGTGAAGGTTTACAGAACAAATATTTTTTCTCATTAAACAGTCAGTACACATATTGTTTTATGACATTGGTTAACAACCCCACGACATGTCAACACTCTCCTTTCTCGACCTTGGAGGACCTTTTTCTTTTTTTGGTGAAAATATGCATAGCCAAAGATACACCATTTCAAATATTCTACATGTACAATTCAGTGACATCGAATGTACTTCCAGTTGTGCTGCTATTCTGACTATCCTTTTTCAAATTATTTCATCACCATTGTCTTCAACTCACTGCCCCCTAGACTTCCAATCAAACCTTTTGGGTTGCTGTTGTCAATTTGATATCACACAGATAATTCTTTTTTTTTTTTTGTACTTTAGATGAAAATTTACGGAACAAAATAGTTTCTCATTAAACAGTTAGTACACATATTGCCCAATGACAATGGTTAACAACCCCACGACATGTCAACACTGTCCTTTCTCAACCTTGGGTTCCCTATCACCACCTTTCCATAGGAACTTATTGTAAGACATTTCACTCTTAATATTTTTCATGGAAGAAGAAAGGAGTACAACTGATAGTTGAGAAGATAATGGGGAAACATTTTCCTCAGCTGTAGAATTAAAACTGTTCATTTTGTTTGTTTGTTTGATGAGAAAATGACCCCTTAGTTGCTTCCTACTGTCTTCTTTTTTAAATACCATTTGATGCACTGATATAGTAACTGTTTCAAAATTTAGCTTTCTATAACTGGCCCAGTAATTGGCAGTGGTGGCGTAGAAAGTGGATAAATAAATATTTATATGGTACCAAATTAGAGGTGAAAAAAATCCAGACTCTTCAATCAGATGCCTGGTCATGATTTCAGAAACAAAATGGTTTAACTATATTTTAACCATCTTTTTTTCTTCCTTCCTTAATTCCTTCCTTCCTTCTTTTCTTCCTGTTTATCTATCTATCTATCTGTCTGTGTATTATTTACCTATCATCTATCTGGGTTAAGCCTGGATCACTCATCATAGCTACTTTTTCCTAGTTTCAGAGAAAAAAAGAAGAGAAATTGCAGAGAGAAAAAGAGAATGTTACCTTGTTCGTGGTGTTTGTAAGACTAAGTGCAACACCTGGGAATACATACATAATTATTGTAATGTGGAACCCTGTTGTGTGCTACGAGACTACCAAAAGCCAGTCATGACTACAGCAGCTTATACAGATAAAAATTTTACTGATTTTACCATATAACACTACATCCATAAAATATTATTAATAAAAATAAAATTTTTATTTTCTTTCTATCAATCTATTTTCAAAGGAGTGTCCTCTGGCCTTCTGTATTACACAACTGTGCCATGGCTAACGAGTTCTGAATGTTGGACTAGTACAAGAGAAATAAAGAAGAAAGAGTGGTAGCCTTTTCAATAAATTGACAGGTTTTCCTCCACCCATGTGAAAAATCTTTCCATCTTCAATGCTTCCCTTTACCCCTAGTGTATTTACTAGGCCCTGTGCAGTAACCTACTCATTTTACATGATCCTTTAGGCATCAACCATCAATTACTGTTTATGCTACCTTTTCATAGTTTCAGTGTAAACGCGCTTGGTTCTTGGACACAAAGTTGTACACAACTTAATTGTGTAATAGGAAAGTGTTTATAATTGTAAGAAAATGCAAACAAAGAAACTGAAAGTAGAGTAAAATATAATACATTAAGATCTTTTCTATTTAAAAAATACATAAAAATAATAGCAGAAGGAAATATGCTAAACTTAACAGTGGTTCTTTTAGGGGAAAGTGTTCATGGTTGATTTATTTTCTTCTTTAAAACGTGGTTTGTTTTGTTTACAATGACGTATATAATTTTAGAATCGGAATGAAAGCTCTTAAAGTATTATAAAAGTCTATTTTTTCTGATTATAAGATAATCAGAAAATTTGGAAGAATGTATAAATATCAAAAGAAAATGAATGTCACTTCTAATCTTCCCATTCAAAGCTGACTAATTATCAATAATCAATCTTGAACATAGGCCCCATTCAGAAAATCATGAAATGATTCATAAATTTTGAGTTATTCTCGACTAATTCTAACCTTAAAGAAAATAAGCACTAAAAAAATCTAAACTTATAATCCATTTTTAAGTTTAAAAAAAAACAAAAACATGTACAGCCAAACAGTGGGATCTCATTTAGCCATTAAAATTGGTAAACAAAATGGGGTGTATCTATACAATGTAATATTAATCAGCCAAAAAAACAGCAGCAAATGACAATGAGTAAGAGCTACAAAAGTAACTGTCCTAACCTACCAAGTGCAGAAAACCTTGTGGCTGTTGTTTCGTTTCAGTCCTTTAAATTTCATGCATCAGTGTCTCTTGTGGCCTACCCTAAGTGGAAATCTACAGGGAGGGAAATTCTGAAAAAACATAGTTCAGCCTAGCCAAGCTGTCACATTGCAAAACCACCACAAAAGAGGAAACTCAAATCAATCATCATAGCTACAGATAAAGACATTTCTTAGTAAATGATTAATCAGACATGCGTAAAATAAGCAAAAATTGCAAATATTTGAACAATATAATGTTGAAATCTGAAACAATGAAAATATGTAGAACTTTTTAGTTAACAGCTACAGATTGGACATTCTTGTCAAGCTCTCATGGAACATTTCTTTTAATCTGACCATAAACTGCACCATAAATCAAGTCTCAAAAAACTTCAAAACCTCTTCTTTTTTTTTCTTGTTCTTATTCTCTTCCCCTTTTCTTCCTCCTCCTCTTCTTTCTTCTTCTTCCTCTTTTTCTTCTTCCCTTTCTTTGATTTCAGTTCCTGAAAATGTCTTCCTAAATCCATAGGCAGTGAGGATGGAATGTAGTCCCAGTGACCCAGAAATAGTAACTAGAGGCCAAGGAAGTTGTCTTAGTTATCTAGTGCTGCTATAACAGAAATACCACAAGTGGATAGCTTTAACAAAGAGAAATTTATTCTCTCACATTCTAGGAGGCTAGAAATCCAAATGCAGGGTGCCAACTCCAGGGGAGAGCTTTCTCTCTCTGTTGGCTCTGGGGGAAGGTCCTTGTCATCAATCTTCCCCAGTCAAGGAGCTTCTCACAGTAAGCACCCTGGGTCCAAAGGATGCACTATTCTCCTGGCTCTTGTTTCTTGGTGGCATGAGGTCCCCATGTCTCTATGCTCACTTTCTCTCTTGTATGTCTCAAAAGAGATTGAATTAAGACACAATCTAATCTTGTAGATTGAGCCCTGCCTCATTAATATATCTGCCACTAGTCCCACCTCATTAACATCATAGAGGTAAGATTTACAACACAGGAAAATCACATCAGATGACAAAATGGTGGACTATCACACAATACTGGGAATCATGGACTAGCTAAGTTGACACACATTTTTGACGGGACACAGTTCAATCCATAACACAAGGTAAGAAGGGCATCCACCAGATAGCAGGAATGAAGGTTTACCTGGCAAGGTCAATCAGATCCCAGTGTGAAGTGAAATCCAAGAGTGGAGATGTAAGATGTTAGAACCACAGTAAGGTGAGGAGAGCATCCATGAAGAAGTCTGACCCAGAGTGAGATGTCAGAGTTAGTACAAGATGAGGAGGTAGCCCACATGAAGACGTGGCCAGGCAAAGAGATACAGAGCCTAAGTAGGGTAATGAGGGCATCAATACAAGGCAGAACCTTGGATGACATGGGGAGTCAGAACCTGAGCAGGGTTAGGAGGGCATCTAGGTGTGATGGCAGCCTGATGAGAAGGGATAAAGCCCAAGTGGTGTGAGGAACATGCATGAGGGCATCCTGACACTTGGTATTAGAGTATGACTGGGAAAGGTACATTTATAAGGAGGGTTGACATAAGTTTTGGAGTTCAACTGGGATAGGAAAGATGTTTATACAATGGATGGGGAGTCAGAACAGGGAGAGGAGGAAGGACCTGTTTGTAGGAAGGTGGGACAAGGGCACAGCCTTATAGCGGGTGTTAGAGCCTAAACAGAGTGCAGAAAGCTCGTATATGGAGGAATGGCCTGGGATAGAGTGCTATAGCCCAAGGGGGGGAGAGGAGAAGACCCATGTGTGGGAGGGAGCAGTGGCAGCAATGGTAGATGGATTACATACAAGGGAATTGATCAAATAAGTAATATTTTAAAGACAGTGGGAGCCAGGTTTTTCATTATTTCAAAGGGGAATTTCAAATATGGAAAGGGAGAAAATTAAAATGAACTCTGTGCAGTTGGTTTGGAATTGGAGGTATTGGTATGAGCTCATTGTTTTCAGTATAGAGAAATGGAGATACAAATATGTTATATTGTGTTTGTGTGTGTGTGTGTATTCCCATGCTCTGTGCTCTCTCCACTAAGAGACTCTGGGAGCAACACCCTAATAGCAATAAGAACAATTAGCACCCAAATCTTTGTATCAAAGTGTTATTTTTCACTAGATAATTCATATTTGGAAACTTCTATTTCTGGCCATGAGGGAGTAATGGTCAGAAAATGACAGAGTGACAGGATTAGTATCAAATGACTTTGGAAACAGCTATTATAAAATGTGGTCTATATACTCAAGGATGTAAATGAAAACATGAACACAATAAGGAAAGAAGTTAAAGATATACAAGGAACCAGATAGACTAGAGATGAAAAAATACAGGATGGAATTAATAGCAGGTAAGACACTGAGAAGAAAAGATCAGAGAAATTGAATAAAAAACAGAAATCCAAAATGAAGCATAGAGAGAAAAGAGAGTTCAAAAAATTAAAAAGAGCCTCAATAACCTGTGGTGCAATATCAGCAGCCTAACATACACATAACCGGAGCCTCAAAAAGAAAGGAAAGAAGGAGGATGCCAGAAAAACATATTTGAATAAATAATGGCAGATAATCTTTCAAATTTGACCAAAACTATAAACACAAAAGTAGAAGCTCAATAAGCACAAAGAAGAGCACATATAAAGGCATATAAAAAACTGTTGAAAGTCTGTGATAAACAGAAAATCTTAAAAGTAAACAGAAAAATAAAGCAACATATTACATTCAGCAAAAGAAAATTACGAATGATGTTAGGGAGATCCACTTCTGGAATGTTAATGTGAGGAACTCTACAACCTACTCCTTAGTGAAACTGGTGAAAATTATTTAAAAGGAAAAATTAATTACAACAATTTAAAGCCTCTAGAAATGGTCTTAACAGTGTACAGCAAATGAGAATCATTCAAGAAAATCTACTAAAACTAGGAAAGAAACATAAGAGTCTGTTGTATTTGAATCACAATCAGCTCACACCCTCTCTTCTCCCAGCTTTGCGTGATGGAAACTCCACTCAGGTGGTTGCAGTCAAGCACACAGGGTTCCCTCTCTCCCAGCCGCCAGTTTGAGGGCTATGGTAGTAGCTTCCTGAGATGGCTAGGATGTCAACATTTCTTATACTGCCTCTAGCTACCTGTTGGCAGAGGTTAAATTCTGAATGAAAGTAGATGAGAGGTTGGGCACTTCCTTCTTCTGCCCAGCCCCTACTCCTATGGATAGGCCACAATATCCTAAACTCTAATTTAGAAAAGAAATACTCTTTGAAAAGTACCATTAAGAAAAATAGAAAGGCAGCACACGGAACAAAAGAAAATATTTGTAAGTGTGCATATGCTATCCAGAATATATGAAGAATTTTAAAAACTAAATAATATGACCAATAAATTTAAAATCTCTGACAGGAGATGATCCAAGATGGTGGCTTAGTCAGACACATCATGCTGTTCCCTCTGCAGCAAAGACTTGAGAAACCAAGTGAAACAGTACAGATGATAGTCCTGGAATCATGAGCATCAAATGGAAGGATAAAGAATTAGATCGAACACCAATTGGAAAAAGAAACTGAATGGAAACAGAGAACAAGGAGAGAGATGGAGCTGAGGTGTGCTGCCAACTGGCTCAGCACAGCGTGGCCATCTTGAGACAAAGCCAGCAGCAATTTCAGGTAAAGAATCCTCAACAGGTGACAGAGAAACCATGAAGACATAGCCAGAGTGAAGCAAGGTGAGCAGAACATGAACTATATCTAAGGAGGGAAAATAAGGAAGGAGGATGTGATGGTTGGGGTTGTGTGTCCACTTGGCTGGGACATGATTCTCAGTGGTTTGGAAGTTATAATGTAATGTGGCAGTTAAGTAATGATGTAGTCACCTTCATGATGAGATCTGCTACGAGCAGCCAATCAGTTGAAAGGGA